TCAAGCCGCACCCCCTGGGCCGCATCGGACAAACCCACCCGGCTCCCCAGCGTGACGGGCGGACTAGGGAGAAACGGCTCTGCCTCGAAGATGAGTTGGGACTCACAGCCACGTCTGATTCAAGTCACAGTGGGACCCGGGGCAAGCCCTGCCCTGATCTGGACAATGGAGCCACAACCCTGCCCGAGAGGGCCAGGCCTGCTCCGGCTGTGAGCTCAGGCGCCGCCCCTTGCCTGGGTTAGGCTGGAATAACAGGGTTTTACCAGAGCCATCTCCCCTCCTGAAGCCCAGCTCAACTCCTCCATGCCACAGTGGCTTCGGAGCCTGAACCCATTCACCCGTTATCCCAGCCAAGGAACGCCCCGTGGGCACCCAGCCCCCAGCCCAGCGGGACGCCAGGCTCTGCCCACTACCACCAGCTCCCCGGGCTCCTGGCACTGCCGCAGCTGGTACAGGCCACTTAGAGCCAGGACCGCAGCCCAGGGGAGCCAGGGACACCCCATGCGGAAGGGGATCCCCCCGCCAGGCGCCTGCGCTGGGTTTGCTGCTCTGCCCAGCGATATTTGAGGGAAGCAGTGAAGAGACCCTGAGCCTTGGCTATGCCCCCCCCCCCGTACGGACATGTCAGGGGAGACAGTGCAGAGCTCCAGGGGCTGCCTGGGGGGTGCCCCTCCCCCCCCCCTCCCGGCAGCAGGCACCTCAGCCATGTTGCTAATGACGATCGCCATGATGATCCCGTAGATGGCCACGGCCTCACAGAAGATGATGCTGTGGATGACGGGCAGCGTTAGCAACTGGAGCCAGAGACCCACAGCCCAGCCTCTGCCCCCCACAACTGCCTGTCGTGCTGACAGACGAGGCGTCTCCCTGCGGGGCCCCCAGGCTGACACCACCCAGGTCATCTCCCCCAGCTAAGCCCCCTGGTCCCGCTGCGGAGACGCTCCAGCGGGGGGCGGCGCTGGCCCTTCGCCACCCCAGCACAGATGGGAAGCCTCCAACAGGCAGGCACCAGGGTGGGGAACCTCATACCCCACACAGCTAACTCAGCCCCCATGCAGGCCACTGCACCGCCCCATAGCCCCTGGGGGCCCGCTGCCAGCCAGGGACAGGAAGCACTGCCTTTCCCAGCATGCACTGGTGCTTCAGGATGTTTCACATTTCCAGTCCGAGGGCGAGGAGCCCAGAGGCCCAGGCAGAAGCTGTTTCCTTCAGGTCTGGACTGGCTGGTGCCCCCGCACGCCGGAGCACGTGGGGCGGAGAAGGGGGCGGGCTGTGGGGACAGGACCCAGCAGCTGCACAGTGACCCAGCCGGACCCCTAGCAGGGCTGGGATCCCAGCCCCAGACCAAGGGGCTCAGCGCTGTACCGCACAGCCCAGAGGGGCCATGGTGCTGGGGAAGCATGAGCAGCTCCGGTGAACCGCTGACTAGCTCCCTGGGGCGCTGTTCCCCGCAGGTGCCAGGTTCTGTCCCAGAGCACCACACTGGCGACCAGCTGTCCTTACCTGACCAGGTTCTTTGTTTTAATCCTGGGGGCCTTCACTCCCCCGCCGATGATGCTGGAGCCAGTGATGTAGATCCCCCTGCAAGAGACAGGGCAGTCAGTGAGGGAGCCCTGGGCGGGTGCCTGCCTGGACGGAGAGCAAGCGGCTGCCAACGAGGAGATGGTGCCTCCCTGGGGCAGAGCCGAGCGCGGACCGGAGAGAGCTCACAGCAAGCTCAGCGGGAGCTGAATGCCCAGCCCGTCCCGCTCACACCCCAGGCGCACACAGTGAGACGGGCTGGGAAAAGCAACGGCACCAGGGACACAGGGCAGCTGCCAGCCCGACTGGGACTTGCTGGCACAGAACCCACGGAGACCAGCCTGGCATCTCCCAGGCCACCAGCATCCCCAGCAGCTCTCCAGAGCCACCAGCAGGAGCTGCCCCAGACCCAAGGTGCCCTGCTGAGATGTCGGAGCCAGGCAGCAGCCGATGGGTGACTCAGGCATGGCATCGCCACCCCCCGGGGCATGTCTCCCGGCCCCCCCAGCAGGAGTCTCAGCAAACCCCACGGGACCAGCAGTCCCGGACAATGGGGCCCAACTCACCAGGCTGCGCCCACCACGGACAGTGAGATGGCCAGGCCGATGCCCAGGTTGGACCACATGAAGGGGGAGGTTTCCGTTAAGAACCTAGAGGCCGAAGGGAACCTCGTTAGTGCAGAGTCAGGGCCGGCCCCGCCCGCCCAAGCGCTCCAGGGGCCGATGGCCCAGCCCCTCCCTTCCATGGGAGGAGGGCAGCAGGCGAGACGGCTGCCTGCTCTGCGGCCCCCCCAGTGCAATGGCCACCCTCACGTGCACACACAGCTCCTGGGGGCTCCAGCACAGGGCCCACCTGTCCTTCCCCAGCACGTGGCAGAGCCATGAGCTCAGTAAGAGACCAGCCCGACGCTGCCCCCCCAAGCAGACCCAGCCACGCCTCGTCCCCAGCCGTCACCCCCCAGAGCCCTGACGTGACCGGGCAGACTCCTCCTGCAGCCCAGGCCAGGCAGGAGAACACTTGAAAGCCCTGTCCCCATTGCCCTTGGAGGAGGAAGGCGTAGGGCCGGCTGCTGGGGAATCAGCCAGCCCAGCCCAGGGCAATCTGGATAGCGCCTGTCGGCAAGCAGCACCACAGGCAGCTAGCAGAGAGCACAGGAAGGGGCAGGGCAGGGGCAGCAGAGCGCGACTGGACGCTGAGGGCAGGGTGCCGGCTTTCCTGGTTGCAATGGGGAGGGGAGCAGAGCTGCAGCCCGGCGCCCTGTGGCAGGATCCAGCAGTGGAACGGGACAGTGCACAGCGGGAGTGAGCAGAGCGTTGGGCCAGCCGGGTGTAGCATGCCCTCAGCCCACGCCAGCACCGAGC